TGATCTGCTCAGGTCCCTTCCAACTCTACCAACTATGAAACTATTAAGGCAGCATCCACATCCTAATCCAACATTTGTCAACCAGTGTACGACAGCATCCTAGGGTACTTTGAGATCCTTTCAGGGGTTCTGTGAGGTGCCATGCAATATTAGCACTGTTAGTTGTACAAATATGGTTCACAAGATAAGGATCCATAGTGTTAAAACTATTCTGACCCGTTGTGGTCTTTCTGAGTTTTTTGCAACAGAAAAAAATTGCTCTATTACTTTTCTAGAGTCAAAAACTAAGAACTGGCATTTTCCAAGGGTGCCTTGAGTCTAAGAACACTGAAAATCAGTGTCCTAGCCCCATTCTTTCAAGGTTCTCTGCAGGTGCCAATGTATCACTCACAGCACTTTAGACCATGTGCTCCTCATATCATAAACCAACTCTTGTACAGCAGTCAGTGCTTAATAAAATGAAAATAAAATAATAAAAAAATAAAAAAATAAATTCTAATGCAGGATGAACTATCTCTGCTAATCCACTTAGAGCTCCATTTATATATTTTAAATTCTACAGGATTTAAAAATATCCCAAAGGACTCAATTTGTAATGATGGAATTTAAAAAACCACTTTAACACACTGTTTTCTATGTGGTACTTTATATTTTCAAATGCTGTATAAATATTAAAAGCTTTACATTCTCCTACATAGGAACCTGGAAACCACATGAATCTACACTTAGAACTTTTCTCATTGTCCTCTTTTCAGGAGCTGGGCAGTTGTACTGCTGCAGAGATGGCAACTGATCCACACAACCTAAGATCCAATAAGATTTCTGGGGAAATACAAAAAGTATATGCCTTTTTCTTAGAAGCCCTGTGCATTTGTGGTTGCACTTGTTCTGGTACTTATAGCCTACAGAGGGCATATCTACACAAGATGCTTAACCGTGCTGTAACATAGTTTACTGAGCAGTAAGCACCCATGCTTATGTGTGTGCACACTTACTGCACAGTAAAAACATCTAATCATGAGTAAATCTAATTGCATTTGAAGGTATCCAATTTACTTGCAATTAGTTACTACATAGTAACTCATGTGTAGACACTCAGGAGCAAATTTGCTCCCAAGTCAGCGCTGCCACTAGGGAGCTGACCTAAGGCTAGCGCCAGGGCTCTGGGCTGGGAGCCTCTCCTACCCCAGGGCTGGGCTGCCTCTATGGCAGCCCCTACCTCAGGCCTTTAAAAGCCTGCAGGCATTTTAAGCCCTGAGGTACCCCAGCAGGGAGGCTGAGGCCACTCCAGGCCCCTGTGATCCCCTGGGGGGGGCGGGGACAAGCCACAGGCTAGGTGCCCCAGCCTACCTGTACCCCAACACCACTGCCTGGCACCGCAGTACCACGTGCCTGCCATACCTGCACCTTCTAGGTCTGAAGGCTGCTGCCAGCTCCAACCAGGCCTGCCAGCCCTTAGGCCCAGCTGCAGGCTCAACTGGCCTGAGCTTCCAGGTGCTGTGGGTCATTGCTTCTGCCATGTGGCTATCAGTCCCTTGTCAGGCACCTGTGCTGGGTGCTGCAGCCAGCTGACAAGGCCCAGCAGCACAAGAACAGCCGGGTGGAGGCCCAGAGAGCCAACATGGCACCCATGACGGGCTCATATTCACCAATGCCCATGCCCACGCCTGTGCCCACCACCCAGGCCCCATCAGGTTGCAGGAGACTGGTGACTTTGTGGCACTGTGGGGTGAGGCAGAGACGCAGCGCCAGTTAAAGTGGGGCAGGCACTCCAACACTCAAGCCTATGAAGGGCTGTCAGGCCAGATGCGGGAGTGTAGGCATAACCAGTCCGCACGGCAGTACCGCATAAAGGTGGACACAGTGGGTTGCCATCACTAACCACAACTGTCAGTCAGGGAGTGCCTGTAAGTCTATACCCTTTATGTGGCAACTGATGGACATCTTTGCACCCCAGGACCCAGGCCACAGCTGTGCTGTGTACAGCAGTATGGGCGGTCTGTCCAAGACCCTGCCCTGGGCTGGCACCCACAGGGACATGTCACCAGGAAAGGGCCCCTTGGGCCTGCAGCTGCCCATCCTACCAAGCTCCCCAGCTGTACCTTCCACTAGCAGCTCAAGGAGCCTGCTGTGATCCAGCCCCCATCATGAGGCATGGCCGGCCATGACACCTCTGGCCACTAGCAGCATAAGTTCTTCCCTGGGGGGGTGCTCCAAACCGGATGCCCACCTGCCGCACCATGCCATCTGAGGACACTGCCAGGAGCCATACGCTGTTGCTGACAGCTGTGACTGGACGGAGCCACCAGCCATGTCAGCCCTGGCCACATGGTAAGCTCAGCACTGAGCGGAGGGCCCTCCCCACCCTAGCCCCTATTTCTGCCCCCAGCCCCTGCCTCAGACCCTGCTCCCCACCCGGCCTGGCCATACCCCCCTGGCCCTGGGTCCCGCCCCTCCCCTCACAGCACATAGGGAGGTGGCAGAAGGTGCAAAATGTTATTGAGCAGCCTGTGCCCCCATAGCCAGGCCGGCACAGGCCTCTCACATGCTGAGGAATGCATTGATGCCAGCAGTGATGTTCTGCTTAGCTGCAGGAGGCAGGGACATGTAGCACAGCCACAGTGAGCCCTCCAGGTGGCAGCAGAGGTTGCGGAGCTGCCTGGGCTCAACCTCCATGTCGTCATAACTCAGGGTCCTATGCCAGGTGCGCAGGTGTGCCCAGGGCACCATGGCCATCAATAGTAGCAGGGCATAGTGGGTCGGGCATCCCTTGATCCATGCAAACAGCTCCTTGCACACTGCCTGGGACACATGCAGCAGAGGCACACTTGGGGCGCAGTGATGGCATGGGGGGGACAGGGTTGGCCCTTTAGAAGACTCCTGCAGGGAAGGTGGGGGCAGCACCTCATCCCAGTTGTCCAGAAGCCCTGTGGCCCCGAGCCCAGGCACCATGGGCTGGGCAGCAGAACGGTTGGCCTGCAGGAGGAGAGGTGGGGCAGCAGGATCTGGAGCTATGGCAGCAGGTGCTGCCAGGAGCCTAGCCTGTCCTGGCCTGGGAAGGGAGCCCAGGGCACTGGTTATTGCTGCCAGGGGAAGGGGATGGAGCAGCCATAGCGTGGGGAGGCACAGGAGGCAAGAAGAGTGCTGCCATGTGCTGTCCCTGCGCTGCTCAGGCTGCTCCAGTCCAGGGAAGTGGTTGGCCAGAGGGCAGTGAGCAGACTATCTTTTGAAGAGGGCTGCCGGCTGCTAGCAGCTGCAGCCAGAGCCTAGAGCTCCCTCCAGGGACAGCAGGGGACCATTGTAGAGCCCCAGGAAGTGGGAGCAGATTGGCAGC